GCGCCCGGCTCTGTCTCCAGCGTAGAGTGCGCTAGGATACGGGCCATATACTGGGACCTGTGCCAAAAATTCCTGTTGAGCCAAGCAAATATCTTCCCGAACCAATTGGTGTATTCAGCATGTGGTTGTAAGGCCATAATACTTATTAGCAAGTGAGCTGAAGAGTTACATGATTTCGTATGAAGGCTTGAATGTTATTGGGGTCAACACTCGAGGTTCTTGAAATCACTGCTGTCATCACGAGCCCTTCGCGCGATGTGCTCGTCGCGGTGCCCGCGGCCTGTCATGGTCTATAGGCATATGTCGGCATTATGGAACCTCTTCCAGGCACCACTCTGTGATATTGTCCCGATTCCTCTCTCTCCATTGCATACTGGACAGTGCGTTGCGCGAGCTATCCCCTCTACCTCACAGTCATTGTGAACGGTCCCTATTTGTTTCGTACAAATAGACTTACTTGTTTTGGAAGCAGGCGGGACTCGAGGGCGGGATGGCGGGTTAGGAACAGATCTATTTCTGATTCATGTCTCACGGCTAATCTACGCCATCAACGGGAAAGCCACAGCCACCGTGTGCTGGCTCGAAACCATCCCATCCCATCCCATCCATGTAGAATTGAGCACGCCTTATCGCCCGGTCTCGAGCACAGATTCAACTATTGGTCCTGTATATAGCTCTGGTTTCGGTGTATTCTCGGTGTCGGAGCAGCCATGGTTCATTGCTCAGTCTCGCGAGGTGACAGAAACAGACGGAATCAACGAACACGTCTCTTCAAGCACAAAAGAACATTTTGATCGGCGAGGTGCTGCAGCGCCGTGGGCTATCCTCACAAAGGCTATTCCCGCAAGTATGCTTTTATGCGCCGAAGTAGCCTTGGTGGCACACAAACTAGTGCAACTTCTGAGACTGAGGCAAGATTAGAAACAGCGATCTTTGACGAAGGTCGTGAGGCTGAAGACGAGCACAGCCCGATGGAATCATGAGGACGTATCAGGTGGGCCTGCTCGGAATTGACTATGTCGTTTACTGATCGTGTTACACGTCACGACCGCGACATATTGGGGGCGTACGCGGGTGATATCTGCTGCACTATTGGGAAGATGCCTGTAGCTCGCGACAGAGTCGCTGACGCGCGCCGCGTTTCACGTCAGTCGGTTCCTCCGAGCGTGCGTACAGCAGCAGTTGCTGGTCCTGTTCCGTGAGATGTTCGCCGTCGCTGTAGAGTCTATGATTTGGCGAAGCATGCGAGTTGCGAGGGTAACTTGAGCGAGTATGAGGCGCAACCGCCTCTTGATCGCAGTTTCCTTTCCGGGAGCGATTGTTATGAGCGTGCGAGACAAGGATCCGTCTCCCACAATCCACCACTGCACAGCGCTGGTCCGCTCCACTAATAACGGGGACCTGGCCTGTGCATTGCGCGCCAGAGCCCGTCCACATCGTCCGACACATCGAGCAGCTCACTTCGGCCTCTTGGATACCGTTTGGCGGGATACTTTACTAGTCCCTACGCTATGGCAGCCAGCATGGAGAGCTTGTCAGGTACGTCGGCGGGCTGTGCATGGCGCTGAGGAAGCCCACTAAATACGCCATATCAGGTGCCAACTTCGTATCGTCTCACTCTGCAGACGTCATTCTCTCGGATGTCAGACCTATCAAGCTGAAGCTCGAGGCCCTACGCTCCTTGAATGTCCTTTTGGACGAATTATTGTATACTATACTAAGCATAGCGGGCTCGCTGTCCACAGACAAGCTCAAGGGTGGGCTGAGCAAGCTACTTCCAAATAGTCTGGGCAAGACGGCGGTAACAGAGGCAGAAGTTGAGCTCAAAGCATACTGGGAGCGGAACGCTCCGCATACGCCAAACGAGGAGAACTTTGATTTGCAGTGGTCATTCGAGGTGCGTCGCAGTGGTTTTCATCCCAATTGTGCGATTGAAGCGCGCCTATAGCTATTGCGACTGAAATGTGAAGCATACACTACTATGAACGACTTGGACGAGGACGAAGATGCGGAGAGGAAGCTTAGCGAGAAGATGCTAGAGGCTGGAAACCCACATCCACCAGGTGTTCGCCTCGTTTCCCCAGCCGCTTTGTATCTCACTGCAATCTTAGAGTGAGTCTCCAGCTTACCTTCCGAAAGCCTCGCTGTAACCTTCGCTTAACAGACATATTTGCGAGTACGTTGTCGAGGTTCCATTAGTACGGTATCCTTACACAAGTCCCGCTTACTAGACATATACTGTCCGATGTCAGTCGTGTCGCGGCACGCGACAGCAGCCGAGCCGTGGCCACGGTACAAGACCTTTTCGTCGCTCTATGTGAAGACGCATCCGTGTATAGCATGTTCAGAACGATGAAGGGTACGTCATTCGTGTATATTGTGACCGCACCGGGTGCTTACACGTATGTGTAGTATATGACCAGATTGATGCACTCTCGAAAGTTCAGAAGCCACGACGGAGCAAGTCACTCACTAAGAGTATGGACCGGGGCTCCCTGTCCTCTAGGGCAGCCTCTCCGCAGAACGAAAGCTCGTCGCCGCCATCATCGATGCGGATACTGGGGCACCGAATACGTGCATCATCCGAGTCTGCGGGATCGCTTGCGCCCGCGGCGTACGTCGGTGTGGGTAGTAGCCGGTCGTCGAAGGACTCGCCTGGAAAAGCGCGGAAAAAGTTGTTTGGTCGCTCTTCACTAGATCAAGATGGGCCACCGGAAGGTGCCGAGAGTCTGGACGATGATTCTAAAAGAAGCAATTCGATTGAGATGATGGTATAGCCGCCTCAGTTTCCTCGCAACGGACGCTTTCAGCTGATTCCTGCACTTTTTCTTTTCTCTCCCCCCACCTCCCCCCACCTCCATTCCATCCAGGACGAGGAAGCACTGCGCGAGTTCGATGAGCTCATGCAGACCGCAACAACGATGAAGGTGTCGCTGACACCAGACAGGCTCAAGTCTATGGAGGTGCGTCCGCGTGATGACTTCATGGCATGCTCCGGCTGATTGACAGCTTGACGGTTAGGTCTACAAGCACGAGAGGCGTAGGCCCAAGACGGGGGAGAGCGACTCACTCAGCACTACGGAGGCAGAGGTGAAGAGGGCGGTGAGCGTGCGACGTGTTCAAGCCAGACTGGTAGACTCTATCACCGAGGATGAGGAGCCAGTTCCCCTTCCCATCAAAGTTTCCCCGAGTCCGATCCAGGATCCTGTTATCACACCCCGTAGCCGGGAGGCTAGCTTGAACCACTCAACTCTATCCCCTTCCCCCCTGCCGACCACCCGCGCCAGGTCTGTCACCCTGTCCTCCCCTCAGCTTCTGCGCGAAAAGCCGTCACGAGGTCGAATGCACCCCCCCGTGCCCCCACCTCGCTCTCAGCCGCCAGGTGAAGTACAGGGGAACTGGCAAAACCCGGCTTCCACCCAGCAATCGATGTCCGACGGGCGGCCGCAGTGGGCACGGAAAATTGGGAGGAACCGTGAGAGTTTGGACCTAAACGAAGTGATGGGAGTTGACGACGAGGAAACCGAGGTGCCACCGCGGACGCCATCTTCTAGACGCGATCCATCGAGACCGTACATCTCGAAGGGGGCTCGCGATCTCATTGATTTCCTCGATGAGGGTCCGCCGATCCAGATGATGCCGCCGAACCGCAACGCGAGCATGGTCTCTCTGGAATCGTCTAAAAGCCGGTCGGGCGGGAGGTTGCAGCGGATGATGTCTAAGCTTACCCTTGGAAGCTCGAGCGAAAAGTTCAATGGTCGTTCCAGTATGACCACCGAGTCGTCGAGGGCGTATCGCTCGCTAAACTCGTCTGTCACATCTTATTCACCACAATCCTACCTGCAGTCCCCTACAAACACTGTCCGAGGGCCTGCTGTCGTCGTGGCTACTCCCCCACCTCCAACAGCATCTCTCGCAAAGTCGCTCTCTTCTTACATGGCCCAGGAGCCGGCTGTAAAGCCAACCCCGCAAGCTGTCTCGCCCACGTCTTCTCGCAGAATGTCCATCACGCGTAAGCCTGTCCCTGCGTGGGATGAGACCCGAGATGCTTTCAGCGCCCACTCGTCGTCTGCAACGCAGACAAGCGAACAGCCATCCTCTTCCCCGCGATATTCACCCAACCGCAAGTCTTCGTCGTCCAAACGTGCCTCGCCGCTTGATGCCTTCCCTCCTCCTCCTACAACTGTAAACGTCAACGGAGTCGTGCACGACAGCGACTCGGAGATTGTTCGTACCGCCAGTCTTGCTTCGTCGAACCGCTGCACGCCGAACCGGGCTGAATTCCCGTCACCTTCAAGTCTTCATTCGTCGCCAAATACTCCGCCGAGTCCCAGCTCGTCCTCAAAGCAGCAGTCTGTGCGTCATGTCCCCCCAATTGCCGCTATTGACGCTGGCAGTCGAACATCCCTTGCCTACGATATTCCTGAAGTAACACAGCAGTCTTGGCCGCCGACCCCGCTGTCCATTCACCGGGAAGTCCCCGTCCTCGATGCCGCGGCGCCCATCAACGCTCGTGTCAAGTGTACCGGCGTGATTGTCTCGACGTCTGAGAAAGGCGTCGCTGCTGAGGCACTCACTGAGCCTACCTTCACTGCAGAGCAAGCGCGGGACCTCCGGAGGCTGCTGGCTGTAGCCACTACAGCGGACGAGTGCCGCCTGCTCGCGGACATGTTCCTGATTAAGAGCGGGTTCCACCTTCCTCCCACGAATGAGGAGATCCCTACTCCTGCACCGTCGCCAGACGTGGAGGACACCGCGGCGAAGATCGACATTTTCAACAGCGACATTGAGCGGTCGCTCGTAGGCCTGCTTCTAGGCGATGCAGAGTAGACATTATCGCCCCTCCTGCCAACCTCCGTTCGCTACAGTGTGATCTTCCTTTTCAATGTCTATGCCCCTTGCTAGTGTACCTTCACTCGTTCATTTCCTTATACCATATTTACAGTGGTTCACTCCCCAGGATATTAACACTCGCTTTGTTTCACCAGCTGCACAACCCGTGTACAGATGCCAGGGCTCTTCCATTCTCTAAGTCACATTCCTTCTACCCTTCGGTCATTACGATACTTATCTGCAGCTTTTTGATCTGCGTGTTATAGTGCGGTTTGCTTTAAGATATTCTTATCAGTGCTATTAGGCTTCGTACAATCTTTCCTGTCCTCGAGCTTTTCCTCGGCTGTTTGAGTATCTTTATTTTTCCAAAATGCTGTATCAGTCATCCTGTCCGACGACGCGTCTGCAATGATAAGTCCAGGCATAGAGAAGTGTTGGCGAGCGCGAATGAGTAACTCTCGCGGTCTCACCTGGCCGAGCGGACCCTTGACGACTGCGCGTGCTCGGTGCCAGCTAGCGATGTGAAGAGACTTGCTAGAAAGCTGGCATCCCTGTCTGACGGGTGATACGCGAGCAAGATGCGCGACCGAGCAGTTCTAGTCGAAAGATGTAAAGTATATATATATATTGCAACAGTGAGATGGCACTAGGAACTACATGTAGGCGGACGAAACAGGATCGAGTCGCTAGTTACGAACAAGAAAAAAAGATCCAACAAGAGATCAGAAATGCTCGACGGCGAAGACCCACTTGCCCTCTTCGATATCGAAGCTCTCGAAGGTCGTGTTCTTCATGTTCTTGAGCCGCTTGAGATGTCGTGCCGCGTGCGGGTGCTTCTCGTCCTTGATCGGCTCGCGCGTCGCTTTGTCAAGGGCCCAGCAATGCACGAGCATGATGCGCGCGCGCACATTGAGGCCCGAGCCGGGCGGCGGCTTGTCCGCGTCGTCGAGATCTGGGTACACGCTGCACTCCTTGTCGTCGAAGCGCACGATATCGCCCAGGAGTTCCGTCGTGCGCCGGAGGCCGGTCAGGTCGACCGGCTCAAGGAACTCGATTTCGCCGTAGCCAACACGCCCCACGACGAGGCTCTTCACGGCAGAGAGCTCGCCGAACGAGTACTTCTTCAGCTCGGAAAGCGACGGCTTGACATAATAGTCGCCCTCCTTGAGCTCGCTGAGCTCGGGTGCCCTCTCGGCCTCCTTGATGGACTCGCTGGTTGATTGCGCGGAGAACTTGTTCGTCGTGGGCTTGGCGAGGGCCTTCGACGCCGGCGTCGGAGTCTCAGGGGTGCGCTGTGCCATGGCAGCCTCGTATTCCCTCGCTGCAATGCTGAGGGCCGGGTTGAACAGGGATTTCGACGCGCCACTCTTCATCAAATCGGCAGGCTCCACCTTCTTGTCCAGGATGAGTTTCTTGACGCTCTGCCTTGTTGCCCTACCGAGGCCGGGAGATGAACCAGTCCCGCTAAGGACCGCGTCGGGGCCGAGAAGGCTCTTCTGGCTAAGAGCAAGTGCACCCGGCTTGCCATTTGTCAGAGACATACTAGCGCCAAAGCCCTGTGCCTGGTTGGTGGACGTATACCCGCGAAGCTTCGACGTCGCCGGGGTGTAACCAAGCTGGATTCTAGGCACAGGAGTCCGTGTTGGTACCTCGAGGAAAATGTTGGATTTCTTCCGCGGCTGATCAAGAGTGATCGCACGAGGACCTGGCGGGAGCATGCTGAATATCGGGAGGTTGGCACCGATCGGCTGCGCAATCGAGGCAGTCAGCTGCGGCTGTTGCGCGGCCGGCTGGCCAGTGGGAGCGCCGGAAGTGCCCAATGTGTTGCCGAACATAGAACCGCCGAACCCGCCTGCGTTGAGCTGAGTAGGCTGTGTAGTGGCAGGGGCCTTGCCGAAAAGATTGAATCCGCCGTTCACGGGTTGCATGATGTTTTGGCCAGGCGTTGTGCCAAAAAGGCCAGTCTGCTGCTGCGGCACCTGCGCCGTGTTCGCCGTAGGCTGCTGGCCAAAAAACATACCACCACCTGAAGTTGGCGCCGCGGCTGTAGGCCTCGCTGCCTGTCCGAATAAACCAAAGCCACCTGCGGCAGGTTGGGGCCCGGTCTGCTGGTTAGTCTGCGTGCCACCGAACAGACCACCTCCAGTGTTGTTATTAGCGCCTCCGAATAGACCGCCTGGCGTAGGTTGAACAGGTTGGGTGCCGAACACTGTTGACATGTCGTCAGTTCACGTAAGGCAGGTAGACTCTGAAACTGCACTCACGCCCACCTGACGCTTGTTGCTGCTGAGTGGGCTGTTGTGTGCCACCGAAAAGACCGCCACCGGCGGCTCCCGCACCACTACCGAACAATCCACCAGTCTGCTGTGCTCCCTGTTGTTGAGCAGGCTGGGCACCGGCGCCACCGAACGCGCCAAAAGTGCTTGCAGATTGCTGCGGGGGTTGGCCAAACAAGATTGGTTTTTGCTGATTGGTTTGGCCTATCACGGACATTCAGCTATTTCATTCAGCTACGAGAGGCAATCCTTACCGAAAGAACCAAAGCCAGTATTGGACTGTTGCTGGGGCGGTGGCTGCTGCTGACCGAAGAGACCGGTTCCCGCGGCAGGGGGTTGTGTCTGGCCGGCTTGTCCGAAAGCTCCAAACCCACTGGTCGTTCCAGCCGTGTTGGCAGTGCCAGTAGAACCGAATGCGCTGAAAGGCTTAGGCTGCTGGTTTTGCGCACCAAACGCACCGCCACCAAAGAGGCTACCAGTGGCAGGCTGCTGTTGCGGAGGCTGAGGCTGAGGCTGTCCAAAGGTGCCGAATGCACCGGTCTGCTGCTGCTGTGATGGTTGCTGTGGTTGTTGCTGACCGAATGCACCACCTCCGAATAGACCACCACCCGTTGCTGGAGTGGTGGTCGCTGCAGGCTGTCCAAAGGTGCCGAATCCTGCTGGTCCAGTGGTAGCGGCAGGATTACTGGCGTTACCGAACGAGCCAAATACGGGGTTCGCTGGCTGGGTGGCAGTTGGCGCAGCAGGTTGACCGAACAGCCCACTGCTAGTGGTAGGTTGCGCAGCAGGTGCGCCGAAGCTCGATTGGCCGAATGCACCCGCAGTTTTGCGACCTTGCTGGTAGTCTTGCCAGCGCAGTTCCTCGGAAGAAGAGCCTCGATACGTGGGCATGCATGATATGCTTTGATAATGGAGAGTGACGGAGGTGTTCCCGGCGTCTTTCTCGGTGAACGCATTATAAGGTGGGTTGGAGCTTCCCGTTGTTACGGGAGGTACGCCATCGATGGAGCCGGCGGTAGGGTTGGCTGCTATTGTGAACACGAGACCGAGAGAGAGTAGTATATCGAAACTTACAGGTGGTGGTGGTCGGGCCAAAGGTTGACGGTGCAGGCTTGGCTCCGAACATATTGCTGCCACCGAACGTGCCTGTGCCTGTGTTTGTGCTGGTGTTCTGTCCGAACAAGCCCGTCCCCGTGCTCGTCCCAGCAGGGTTCGACCCAAACGCTCCGGAACTACCAAACGTCGACGCCCCAGTGCCTCCGCCACCGAAAGTCCCGAAGCCTGTGGCCGGTTTCGGTGCCCCAAAGAGTCCCGACGCAGTGTTTTGGGCGTTGTTGGAACCAAATGTGCCTGACGAGAGTGTTAAAGCTGCTGTTCGAATGTGTCCACGCTCGCGCCACGCACCAAAGCCGGTCGTGGCCGGGGTCGCTGTAGAAGTGCTCGCTGTGCTTCCCAGGCCACCAAACATGGGGTTCGCTTGAGGTTGTTGTTGTTGGCCAAAAGCGCCTCCCGAACCGAAGGTACCTGCGTACGTGACCTTGTTTACATGGCGCGCGAAATGAGTTGATGCTTTGACGTACCGGTGCCGAATCCTGCAGGCTGCCCGAAGGCAGAGTTTCCTTGCTGCTGCTGTGGTTGCTGTTGTGGCTGCTGCTGGGGCTGCTGCTGCTGGGGTTGCTGCTGAGGCTGGCCCCACGACGAAGTTATGCTATTGTTTCCGAACATCTTGCTCGGGATTCGTCGCTCGGAAGGTCGTGGTCGATGTGCAAGAATTGGTACCCCCCTTTCGGGACGCGTTTAAGCGGAGTCTAAACTCGAGTCAGTCACAGGCTCGGTCCCGTCGCCTATCTTCAAAGCTCCGCCCGCATGACTCTTATCTCTTTCACACTCCGCAGAGAGCGCCATCATGTTACTTTATGGCTACAAGTCCAAGAAAGGCATGTTTATAACTATGTACGCGAAAAATTGCATCGTATAACTTTGCTCTCGATCCTCTCGCAAGCTGTACATCTCAGCCAAACGGCTCGCAGAGACATCAAACTGTGATGCCTGACGGAAGTCCCCGGATAACACCGAAGCCCACCTTTGACACCCTTTCCCGCGAGAAAAATTTCAAGCACCCGCCAAAGAATGGTCATGTCGTGCCTACACTGAACGAATTCGTTACTCCCCATCTCGAATCTTTCAACGCGCTTTTCGACGACTCTGGACTGCCGCAAGGTGATGGAGATGATCGAGGACTTTTGTCTCAAGGCATCGCGGATATTGGCGAGCGGGCAGTGTTCGACGGCAAGGGGCAAGTGGGTGAAGAGAGTGGGCAGCGAGGATGGGGGAATCGATTAACGGGTGCGTCCATGTACTCTTGCATGTACGGCACATTGATCTTTTGCAGTATGGTATGAGCAGGTATCTGTTGCACGGCCCATGGTCTCTGAAAAGGACCAAATTGCGAGGGTTCGCAAGACCTACCCGACCGAGGTAAGTCCAGCTCGGTGCTCGAGGGAGCGTTCACTTGAAAAACGGCACTCCTACGACAGGACGCGCGAAGGACTATTCCGTCATGTACCAGCGACTGATGGCATCTGTTTTCTCTAGGCTCGTGAACGTCTGACTTCTTATCGAGGGAGAATGACCACTCGGCTATGCTGGAGAATCAACGACGGTCCCGTGGAGAAAGAAAACAGAGACTGTGGTCTTCTGCCGATCATGGTTCGCTCGGTACGGTGTAACTTGAGGGGAATGTCGTCCGCCGAACTCGTCCAGCATCATGAAGAGCCTGAAGAGTTCGGAGGCTACTTCATAATCAATGGAAACGAACGCCTCATTCGCTACCTCATCCTTCCACGACGGAATCATGTCATTTCCCTTATCCGTCCCTCTTTCACTAATCGAGGCCCTTCCTACACGCCACATGCGGTACAAATCCGCTGTGTCCGTCCCGACCAGACAAGCGTCACAAACACACTTCACTACCTCTCAAACGGTTCCGCCACCCTTCGCTTTAGCTGGCGCAAACAAGAATACGTGATCCCTATCATGCTTATTCTCAAAGCTCTCGTCGGCGTGTCAGATAAAGAGATTTTCGAAGGCGTCATGATGCAGGAGTACGAAGATACGTTCTTGACCGACCGTGTCGAAATGCTTCTGCGCAGCTTCAAAGCGTACAGCTTATATACAGGCGACCAATGTTTGGAGTACCTCGGTAACAAGTTCCGTGTTGTCCTCGGCATGCCTGAAGACTGGACGAACAAGGCCCTCGGCACATGGCTAGTTGACAAGCTCGTCCTTGTACATCTTGATTCTCCTCGCGATAAATTCCGCATGCTACTGTCAGTACACGCTATTGTATGCCTTATCGACACTGACGATAGCTCTACAGCTTCATGCTTCGAAAGTTGTTCGCAGTCGTTTCAGGGTCCTGCTCTGTAGACAATCCTGATTCGCCTCAACATCAAGAGGTGCTTTTACCTGGGGCCCTGTACGGCATGATCATCAAGGAGCGCCTGGAAGAGGCCCTCAACAACTTTGTCAGAAGTATTCAGATCGACGTCCAACGGGATGAACCGTCAGTGGACTTCTTCGACAGTGAGCCCATCATGACTTGTCTGCGACACTCCGCTGAGATTGACTAACAGAGCGATACATCAAGAAGATGCTCCAGAAGATCAATTACGAGATAGGTGCGAGGATGTCAAACTTCCTGGCTACTGGCAACCTGGTGTCAGCTTCCGGCCTCGATCTCCAGCAAGCTTCAGGTTTCACCATCGTCGCCGAGAAGCTGAACTGGCTACGTTATATCAGCCACTTTCGGTCGATTCACCGTGGTGCCTTCTTTGCTGAACTCAAGACAACTACGGTCCGGAAACTGCTTCCCGAAGCATGGGGCTTCCTGTGTCCCGTACACACACCCGATGGTTCTCCTTGCGGTCTTCTAAACCACCTTTCACGGACTTGCCGCATCGTCACTCAACCTCTTGCTGTTGCTCATATTCCCGCGCTACTCGTATCCCATGGCATGACCCAGGCGTTCAGCACATTGGTTGATGGTCGTCGCAACCTCTGCATTCAGCTTGATGGTCGTGTGATCGGCTGGGCTCCGCAAAATACCGCACAGCGGCTTGCCACTAGTCTCAGGATATGGAAAACAGAGGGCAAGCACAACGTTCCTCTTGACCTGGAGATTGGCTATGTACCGACCTCGCAGGGTGGCCAGTACCCGGGCCTGTATCTCTTCTCGTCAAGATCACGGATGATGCGACCCGTCAAATATCTTTCGAACGGTCGTAACGATCAGATCGGCTCGTTCGAGCAGGTGTATATGAATATTGCCTGCACGCCGGAGGAGATCGAGAAGGGCGTGTTTTCCCATGTCGAGCACAAGCCGACGAACTTCTTGTCAATCCTAGCAAACTTGACCCCCTTCTCCGACTTCAACCAGAGTCCACGGAACATTTACCAGTGTCAAGTACGTCTGTCTCCGCTCCAATCATGTAACGAATCACTTACATATGGCTGAAGATGGGTAAGCAAAGTATGGGAACACCATCGACCACACTTCGGCACCGGACAGACAACAAGCTGTATCGCCTACAGACCGGCCAAAGCCCTGTCGTCCGCCCTGCTCTCCACGACACATACGGAATGGACTCTTTCCCGAACGGCACCAACGCGATCGTCGCTGTTATCTCGTATACTGGTTACGACATGGAGGATGCTATGATCCTGAACAAGTCCGCGCACGAGCGCGGCTTTGGTTATGGAACGGTCTACAAGTCGCAGATTATCGATCTGAAGGATCTGCAAGGGCGCTCGGCATCCTCTTCAGCGCCAACACTGCACTTTGGATTCGGGTACGATATCAAGACCGAGGGAGACAAGGCGCACTCATGCTGCGAGTTCTTGGATCTCGACGGTCTCCCGTATGTCGGTACACGATTGAACCCCGGCGATCCTATTGCGGCGTACATCGATGATACGACCGGCAGGACCAGATTCGTGAAGTACAAGGGCGACGAGACCGCTTATGTTGACACCGTTCGTCTACTTGGTGTGTGCCTTCACTTGCATCCCGCGCCAAGCTAATATGGACGTGCAGGTAGCGATGCAGGTGACCAGGAGCTGCAGAAGGTCCATATCACCCTGCGTATCACCCGTGCTCCCGTTATCGGTGACAAGTTTTCCTCGCGGCACGGTCAGAAGGGTGTCTGTTCGCAAAAGTGGCCGATGATTGATATGCCCTTTACGGAGAGCGGCATGCAACCTGACGTTATCATCAACCCGCACGCCTTCCCGTCTCGCATGACTATTGGCATGCTGGTCGAGAGCATGGCCGGTAAGGCCGGCGCCATGCACGGTCTCGCGCAGGATGCGACTCCATTCCAGTATGTCTTTCGGCTTGAGACCTATGCGGTAGCTTATTCAAAGTGCATGTAGGTTTACTGAGGAAGACACTGCAGTGGACTACTTCGGTGACCAGCTGCTCGCCGCCGGATACAATTACTACGGCAACGAGCCAATGTACTCCGGCATCACCGGGCAGGAATTCGCTGCAGACATCTACATTGGTGTTGTATACTACCAGCGTCTGCGTCACATGGTGTTGGATAAGTTTCAGGTTCGAACAACTGGTCCTGTTGATCCCGTTACCCGGCAGCCCGTGAAGGTATGCTTCGACAATATCTCATGCTCTTCTTCACGCTCATCTTGCATAGGGTCGTAAACGCGCCGGTGGCATCCGTTTCGGGGAGATGGAACGCGACGCGCTCATCGCGCACGGTACTTCCTTCCTCCTGCAAGACCGTCTCATGAACTGCTCCGACTACTCAACTGCATGGGTCTGTCGCACGTGCGGCAGTCTCATCTCGCTCGGCTATGACGACGTCAGTCTCGGCGAGATGGTCATCGGTACTAGTGGCAAGCTCAAGCCGACTGGCCCCGGCGGCGAGTACTGCAGGGTGTGCCGTGCGGCTGCGGAAGAAGAGGAGGAGCGCGAGCGGAAGGCTCTCGCAACAGGGCAGAATGCCTCAAAGCAAAATGGCCTCAAGGTAGCGATAGCTTCGCAGCAGATGCTTGGCCCATCATCAAAAGGCGGCGATCTCGACATCGTCGCCATCCCCTACGTGTTCCGGTACTTGTGCGCTGAATTGGCTGCGATGGGTATCAATATCTCATTAGAAGTTCGATAGAAGATCTGCTGTTATGTTTATATGGTCTATAGCTTTAGCCTAGCTGACGACAATTTGCTTTCCCAATTTCTCGCTTTCCGTTCCGCCGCCTGTGCGAAGTGCGACGAGCAGGTCGATGCATCTCCTCAGTTTAACTTACGGTTTGCATACTTGCTGGAGTGTCAGGATCACCTCCCAGGATCTGACTCTGGGTGGCCCGTCGCGCGCGTAAAGTGGGACCTCACTAGTCTCAATATTCGATCTTCTGCTCTCGTTTTGCGCTCGTATGTGGGTCGTTCCTTGTGCTATCTCAAGTATCACGGATACCATTACATATTCCTTAGCTACGTGCTTATGCGGCTACCAATATACTCTGAACACGCTGTCACTGTTAGCACAGCTACAGGGGATGATTTAAATGCGATATTGAACTCGTCCCGTGGATAGTTTTCAGAGACTCTGCTCCGGGATTGATGAGGCTAAGTATGCCATGACGAGTCATTCCCGCGAACAAGAGCGAGTATTTGAACACTTGTACATCTGTCAAAGACCGTGAGTGTATACATGTGTGCTCATCCTGAGCCGATAAACACAATATTATACTAAATTTACAGCTAACAGTCCTCTGTCTGTTCCGTGCCGCGCTGTTGCGGCTTGAGCGAGCTGTGTACTCGCCGTCGCCATCTTCGGACCCGGTTTAGCTGCCCAAACCCAATTCGAAGCCGCATTCGCGTCTGGACTCACGCATAGTGTCGCTGATCTTGTCACCTACCGCGCCGCAAAGGTAGAACATGACGCGTGACGAGCCACACGCTTCCACTAGGCACAGTCATCGCGACACCTCTCGAGCAGGGCTAGGAGTCTAATGAGACGACCGCAGGCTACCCTGGCCACCCCTTTTCGCGGCACGCAAATCCCCGGACACGCGTCTGGAGATGCGTCGGTGAGTGCGCCACGCTCCAATGTCTCAGACACGGCGGGAGTGGTGCGGCAACAGCTACAGTCGGCAGCTCTGCTACAGAGTTCATTTTAGTACGCCTCTGATCGGCAGGAACCCGCACGTCGCTTGAACAATTAATAGGCATACGATTGATTAATACAACGTCATGTCTTCCTCATGAAACACAATTGTGCTCCCAGCGCTGCCGCACGTGATTGCTAGGCGCGGCCAGATGCCACCTTGGTTTGGCACAAGATCTCGTAGATCTCATTATCGGCGGCATAAATGGCTAGTAGTGCGTCCGTGCCATTTCCAAACAGACGTCCTCGAAGCTGATGCAGCCGCTCGGACTATTTTGATGTGTGTAAAACGCGTCGCGCATGAACGTGCTGAACACCCGCATAGTAGCTATTTCATTCTATAGATGCGGACGTCACCTGCCTCAGTTCCCATTGTATATATTCCTACCTTCGCCCGGTATCACTCCTCCAGTACCCTCGCTCGGTATTACTCCCTCAGTAGAACAAGTCTGTCCAAAGCATTACAATGTCTGCCAAGATCGGAGACGTCGCCGACAAGTCCTTCGACTATGTCATTATCGGTGAATCGATCTTCATTCGCTCGGCCATGATCACACCCGTTGACTATGAGCAACTATGTAGGTGGTGGTGCCGCCGGCCTTGTCTTAGCTGCTCGTTTAAGCGAGGACCCATCCAAGACGGTCTGCGTCTTGGAGGCGGGAGACTCGAACATCAATGACCCGGCCATTCGTACGTAACGTTTCATGCGTCAAGTCTGCACAGAAATTCATGCAAGCTGTATAGTGACGCCCGCCTCATACGGATCCCATTTCGGAAACAAGCAGTATGATTGGAATTCTGCGACGGTGAGTAACTCCAAGTCAGCGATGAGGTATGTTAGCTGAGACCTATGGACGATGTACATCTAGACAAAGCAGAAGTTCTGTTCTGACAGGGTCTTTCCATTGGCACAGTTCGCACTCACGCTCCCTACGCTCTAACAAAACATTGACCTCTTTGTGATACAGTGGGCGCGGCCTCGGCGGCTCGACTAGCATCAATTTTATGGGATGGACCAAGCCTTCAGCAGACGAGATCGACGGTGTGCACGCACTTGCCATCTGAACTTCCTGCCGCCATTTAACCATCACTCTTAGATTGGGGACGCCTCGGTAACCCAGGTTGGAACTGGAAGAATTTCCAGAAGTATGTGCAAAGGGCCGAACGGTAGGTCATCCTTCCGCAGGCAAGTTATCCCCTCCTCAACAGTAATACTTGCACAGCTTCGTCGAGCCAGCCACCAAGCTCCGCAAGGACGCCAATATACCGCTGAACGAAGGAGACCTTGGCACTAAAGGTATGCGCAACATACCGTCAGGCTGTTAGCGTCGCTCATAGCGCGTCGAAGGCTCCGTAGCAATTTCGTTCCCGAGAACATTTGCTGATGTCGATCCCTTCCTTATGCAGGTGAGTCTTGTATCACTGTCATGTGGCTTAGTTACTCGTGGTGACTATCTTTGTCCAGACTACCAAGAACGCCGGTATCCCGACCGCACCACGCCCAGTAAGTTGCTCCGGTCTGCATATCAGCTGTTGAGACATACTGATCACTGTGAACAGTACGGCGGCAACGTATGTCCGTAGTACGTCCCGTTTCCGCCGTGCGCTGATTGCTTCTTCCGCGCAGCCAAACGGATGTTACTGGATGATCAACTCCCTTGATCAACAAACCTCGACGCGCTCGTACGCCTGCACAGCGTACTACGTACCTAACCGTGACCGTCCGAACTTGACCGTCCTCACTGGTGCAAATGTGGCGAGGGTCGTCTCAGACAAGGGCACGGACGGAATCTTGACCGTCACTGGCGTCGAGTTCCTGCATGGCGAGAAGGGTCATGTCGTACATGTGAACAAGGAAGCGCTAGTCTGTGCTGGGTACGTCGCGCGTTGTGTCTTGGCGCCGTGGTGGATGCCTAAAATTCATGGGTATATGCTAGGGCGCTGAAGTCTCCGCAAATTCTTGAGCTATCAGGCATCGGTAGCAAGTCCGTGCTCGAAAAAGCGGGGGTCGAGGTCAAGATCGATCTTCCCAGCGTGGGTGAGAACATGCAGGAGCACCTGTTCGGCCCGTGTATGTGGGGTGCGTTACCCCAAATTGCAGCAAACCGCTCTCAGCTAACACTCGCCAAAAGAGCTCAAGCCCGAGCACAAGTTCCTCAACTACAGCGAGCTCCAGCACTCCGCGGGGCGCGCGAGGCACGAGGCGCTCTACAAGGACCTCGAGGGTGTGTTCACAATGGGGATCGTCAACTGCTCATTTAATCCGCTCGAGACAATCGCCGGCACTCCGCGCGCGCAGGAGATCTATGAGCGCGCCCGCGCGCAAGTTGACGCACTCGACGCAGCACGTACGCCGGCCGGCCTACGCGAGCAGTATGCGATCCAGCTGGAGCGTCTCCGCCCTGGCGTGCTCCCCGCGGGCCTCGGGTGCGAGACCATCGGCGTGCCGGGCACCATGGGCGCGCCTGCCACGGAGGGCCGGTCGTACTTTTCGTTGATGTACAGCATGACCCATCCGTTCTCGCGGGGGCACGTCGTAAGTAGCTGCCTCTCGTAATGCCTGCCGACGCCCACGTTCTGACGGATAGTTTCGGTGCAGCATATTACGTCGAGCGACCCGATGGTTGAGCCCGAGATTGACCCGCAATACTTTGAGTACGGAAGTGGTGCGTTGCGTCGTCTTTGTTTACCAAATATACATTTGACTGGCGCCCCGTCTTAGACCTCGACGTGATCGTGGAGATCGCCAAGTTCGTGCGCAACATAGTGCAGCATGCGCCGTTGAAGGACATGATCGAGAAGGAGGTCATGCCGGGGCCGGCTGTACAGGACGGCGAGCAGTTTAAGGGCACGTTCCCGTTCGCTTTCCCTCGCCACATTGACATTGACGTATGGCACACAGAGTTCGTGAAGACGGCTTGCGGCACAACGTGGCACACATGCGGCACCTGCTCAATGACGCCGCGTGACAAGAGCGGCGTCGTCGACCACGAGCTCAAAGTATACGGCACGAACAACCTCAGGGTCGTCGACCTGTCGATTGTCCCACTGACCGTTGCCTCACACATGCAGTGTATGTATGCCAGGCTATCTATCGTGAACGTGTATAGCTGATATCGAGTCGACGCATGTAGCTGTTGCGTACGCGATAGCTGAGCAAGGTGTGTTATATTTCTAAGAATACGGCGTTCAGGTTGCTGACTGCTTTGCAGCGGCAGACATTATCAAAGGTACGTTCCGGCCTTAGGGGGCCAGGCTGACGCATATCGGTTTTGTACGGGCACTCTGGTCGGGATTATCAGTGTTTAAACTTTACATGCAATTGTGTTGCGTGCAAGGAGGGGGAAATTTTGCGTTTTATTTGTAACAGTAAGATAAGAATGGGGATGGAATGCACAGTATACAAATGAAGCCTGGATGTAGCAAGACATTCCAATTCAATGTACTCATACATTTTATAGGTGCTATAGTTCAATAGCACAGGACGATCAGAGTGATAGTGGCCCTGGGATGCCAAGTGGTGCTGAATGGCTTCTTCAGCCAACCTGTAGAGATCTCACCGGTATCACCTTCATCAACAAATAGTCACACCGCTTCGTTGCTCGTCAGTCTCTCGCGACCAGGGAGGAGTTCCTTGACGAGCATCTCCATTATTCAGTTGATGAAGTGTTCGCTACCTTGCACGCGAACCTCACCATCTTGACGTGAATGCCAAGATGTTTGACGCGGCTGTTGTTAGAATCTTCAACGAAAATGTAGCATACTGGATATTTACTCTATTTCTGAGACAGACCCCCTCTGTGCTAGGTCCAGATAGGAGACCGGGGAGAACCAGTCGTAGGGTTCGTGACGTAACAGTAGAACAGTATTTCCTGAAGTCGGGGTGTTGGCCGTTGGACATGATGGAGCCATACTGGTTTTGTCTGAGAAGCCTCGTGCTGTATTCTTACCACCCGGATCGCGCCCGACAGAGATGACGTCCGGAAGCGGGGACTATCAACGACGTTCCGCAACATACGCACGTCTTCCGCGCTGCGCGGGATGAGCCTTGAGAAGAGGAGAGGTCTGGTCGGAAGCGACCAGTGCTTGCATACAAGGCTAGGCGCAGCAAGTCCGCGCTTCAAGCACGAATATTCTGCCCACGAGAACTCGAAGGTCTCGCGATTATTGAGCGTGTCAGGAGGAGTGAGATGGTAGAGAATGCGGGAGAGCAGCTCGGGAGGAAGGTCGGCTCCCGTGGCGTATGGCATCCCTGTGTAGTTCTGCAAACGTGCGAGAGGACAAGTCGAGGTAGCTGTCCAGGGTACGAGTGGACAACGATAACGTGCCGTGCTGGCGTTCGTTCAAAGCCATGAGGTTTACGTGATGCATGACACTTGGTATGCCAGGACACAGCATGAATCCTCGAAAATGAATATATGGCAGGACACAGCATGAATCCTCGAAAATGAATATATGGCAGGACAGGATGGCGGCTGACAGTCACCGCACGCACAAGCCAAGGCACAAGCTGTGATTACTCGCATAAGCGATATGTGGTTGACGGCCTTGTGTAGTCTCGCACCTGGGGGAGTTTCAGGCTGGAGACGAACTGCCGCGGCCTCAAGTTTGCGTTCAAGGCCACTGCAGGCGCCACCTCACCAAAAAAAGCGATACCCGGAGACAGGAGCGCACCAATAGAGTCCACCGAGAGGCTGTGAGGGACGATACGAGGAGCTAGACGAAGGTGGGTAGTTCAAGAGGCTCGTGAACGTCCGATGTATCTGATGTGGCCAACACTACGCCGCGGCGCTATGCACAAATACAGAACACTCAAATTAAATTTTCCTAGTCGGAATCGACGGCACATGGCTGACCCAAAGTATACATACATTCCATCCAATTCCTTGCATAACACGACTGAGAACCGTTGTAAGACAGCGATGATCTTGCAGAACTCCGACAGTCTAGGCTGCGGCCTTGATGATGTCGGCAGCTGGACAACGGCTCGTCAATATCTGCGCAGCCAGTGTGATAGATGTGCCACATACCCTTCTCTGCAATGGCGTACACAGCCGACTGCGGGTGTGAGGCGAAGTGCAGAGGGACGATAGACAGGTCGACGACACGGAGGTTGCTCGTGCCGTAGACCTTGAGATCGGTGTCAACAACGCCGTTCTTTTCTCTTGGCACCATCGAGCACGACCCGGCGGTGTCTACAACATTGACATTAGCTCGTTGTTGCCCTACAAATGGACTCATAATACGTACGCCAAGTAGTGCTGAACGTCTTCTTCAGCCAATCTGCAACCATCCCGTCAGCACCACTTTCGACTTTCGCGCGCGGAAATAGATGAACATACCTCCCCATTGCTCGTCGGTCTGAACCTCGAGGCCGGGGTTGACCTCCTTGACGACCATCTCCTTCATTGGGGATGTGTTCGCCACCTTGCGCGCGAACTTCACCATCTCAACGTGGATACCAAGATCTGTGACACAGTCATCGTTAGGACCGCCAGTGAGCTCGCTCAGGGATATACTACGCACCAAAGCTTTGCTCGAAGTAGTGCGCGTCCATCTCTGGATCCTTGCGCGGGTCGGAAGACGTCGAGTGCTGGGAGCGCATGATCAGCTGCGATCCTTCGTCCTACGTGCGGATCTTGCACTTACGACAGTTCCACGCGAGAAGCCGTGGTTCATAGCGACGAGAATCGTGGCATACCGCTTGCCAGGCTCAGGCGTGTCTTCATAGTGCAGTCAGCAATGTTCGGGCAAATTTTGGGACAGCAGACTGCACTTACTGGGGCCGCTCAGGAAGCCGGGGAAGCTGATGAACTCGCACCCGGGGCTGCCAGCCTTGCCGGGCACGAACCGCTCCATCGCAACTTCGAATTGCTCCCGCAATCCAGGATGCGCCTTGTCGTCGATTTTTGCCACAGCGTCTTTCATCTTGTCGTATATATCGGCCTGCTTGCCCTGTGGTGCGAACATGTCGAAGCTGTTCCATGCGAAGCCGACGATGCCGATCGTATGCAGGCCCGATCCAGATTCACTGTACACAAAGTACCGACTTTAGCAATATCCGTGTATGCAGTTGAATAAAGGCTTACTGGAGTTCGAGATGTTTGGCAGCAACGGCAGGATCGCGGAGAAGATCGAGGGTGTCGAATGGAGCATCATCATTAAGTTCTACATAAGAGTGTCAGCGAGGGGAAGCTTCTTTCTTGAGCTGAAGCGACATACCCCAGCTTAGTCCGACGAAAATGTGATCCTGGATGTTCTCTCCGACGCCAGGGAGCTCAACCTTCAATGGAACGTCGATCTTCTCCAGCACATCTTTCCTGCCAAAGCCTGAAAGCTCGAGCAGCTGCGGCGACTTTAGAGTGCTGAAAAAGAGCGTTTGTGACTTTCACTCAAGTAAGTAGATTGCGAAAGGCACATACCCTGCGCTGAGGATCACCTCCTTTGTCGCATTCACGGTCTGAACCTTGCCGCTTGCTTCATCGAAGAACTCGACGCCGACGGCGGTCCACGAGCCGTTGCGAGTGTTTTCCGTCAGCACGCGGTTAACATGAGCCCCGACTGCGACCTTGTAGTTCGGGCGATCCTTGTACGGAAGGTAGAAAGCCTAGGGGTCGTTTAGACGCTAGATAACACTCGTGGGGAATGGCTACTGACGGTTGTAGAGTAAGTTCGCTTGTGGTTTTGGGGATCATAGGTGTTCGGAAGGAAAGACACACCCTTGGGCTGTTCGAGAGATCAATATATGCGCCTCAGTACATTTCATTGTCACTTACGTCTCCACCGAGCTGCATAGAGCGCCAAGTGAGCGATTGGCAAGGCAAGCGAGATATAGGTGGGCTTACTGGCTGTGTGGAAAACGGTAGATTATTGTTCAGGAACGCCTGAGAAACACGACTTTGTTAGAGAAAAGGGATCAGAGGAAGGCGGGACGATGACCCGCACCTGTTGTATCCTGACTTCGGCTTCGGAAATAGACGCGGGGAAGGAAATCTTGAGCGGACCTAATGCAAGCGTGTACGACAATGAATATGAGGGGATAATTAGACTGCAAGTATGTATCCGTACCTTGCCGACCAACGGTCCAAGTCTCCGTCTTAACGCCGGTTCGCGTCTTATATTCTTCTGTCGGTTCGGAGAAACTAATTCGAGCGAGTAAGATCGAGCGATCTCAAAAGGAAGTTGCGCGGGCATACCCTTCAGCACGCTGGAAATACGGCTCGAGGTTCTTCCAGTTCCAGCCAGGGTTCCCGAGGCGCTCAAAGTCTGCAGGTCTCTATATAGTGATCTGCGCAACGCGGTCATGATACGCCACATACCATCGATATCACGAGCCGGAGGCTTGGTATAGACCAGGAAGTTGACGCCGGAAGAGCCACCGAGACCCTTGCCGCTGCGCTGGTATTAGACGCCATATAAATAGTTGCGGCTGGAAAGAACATACCGGTGCCAGCCAGACTCCCTGTCCTCGACGTACTTTTGTTTGATCTGACAGGTAAAGGCTCAGTTGATGACTTGGTGAGACGGAAGATGGCATACCGTCTTGTGGTGCCAAGAATAAGAGTCGTTACCGAGGTGGCTACCGAAAATAGCCGGGCGCACTGGATGTATGCACCTAATAAGGCATAGACAGTCACAGAGGAGCACAATACGACATACACAACTGAGGGTCGTCGATGTTTGCTTGACCGGCTTCCAAGACGAGGACCTTTACATTGGGATCTTCGGTCAGGCGGGCGGCAAGCGTAAGACCAGCGGTCTGCCGCAGACGCGGGAGCGTAAGCACCTAGAGTTAGCACATGAAACGGAAAGACGCACTCCGCCACCTGTACAAGGACATCTCAGCGCCTGCTCGACGGACGCAGACGACACACTCACCAGCGATGATGTAGTCGAAGAACTGGTTGTTCAACTGCTCAGCGGGAACAATCATGGTATAGGATATCTGAGGCGCTGTAGACGTGGGTGACGAGGATGGATGGGTGAAGCGGAAGACGAGACGAGACGAGGAGCTAGCTGGCCGTTGGGGCAGGATATATACACGCTGATGATGGGCTTCTTTTTGCGCTCAACTTGCCTCCTTGGAAGAAAGTAGCGTGACAGGCACCCCGGCACAGAATCGAGCCTAATCGGGGGACGAGACCCTTTGCGGAATTGGCGACTGCTTGGAGATATCCGGGGCATTGAAGACGAATTCGAAGGTCAGCGCGCACTCGGTTCCGTCGTGGCACATCGGAGGTCCCACTGAGCTACCTGATCGTTGTTCGTGTCACTGCAGAAGTATTCCTACATCAGCATGCGTCGCACTCCGTTCTCGGGTGCCTCCATTTCCAGAGCAGGAGCAGAGCCTCGTGGGCGATGCACGAAGATAGCACGAACCAGCTCGCCCCTTCTGCTCAGCACGTGCCATTACATAAGCACTGCCGCCCGCCGAAACAGGTGGCAGCCGAGTTGCTCTGGTAACCTGTCGTAAGCAAAATGCTGGTGGCCGGCACACTCAATCCGTGCAGCGCACTTACGAAATGCTAGCCGGTCTTCCATCCTCCATAGTGAGAACTTCTCATGCATAAGCAACTATCTTCCAGGGTCAACTCGGAGCGATACACCCTTCGGACATCAGCCAGAAGGCCAGAGGAACCCCAGTCACTATCGTAGAGACTGCTGCCGAGCTCTGTTCGAGCAGAGGCTACAGAAAAGTCTCATGGAGGACCACCTTCTCGTATCTACAGGCTGGCGACGCGATGATGAGCAGGTCAGCATTACGGCAAAGCGGAATGTTCTTCGTACCCTGGGTTGCCACGTCTTGTTGGCGAAGGTAACAAATGCCTGCTTTGCGGGGACAACAGAAGAGTTGCGGACTCTTCGCGGGAGAGTGTGGATGGCTGGAAGCGATCCGCGGAGCAGGTGGAGATGTGGACGACATGCTCTGGGTGCACAAAAGCTGAAGGAAGCACAGAAGGCATAGCCTCGAGAATCGAGAATTTCCATCCGAGGTAACTAATCATTCCAAAGTAGCGTAAGCCTTCAGCATTTGACCTGCGCCTTACATACGCATCTGTCCGGCGAGAAGATACAGCATACTGAACATGTAGACAGATACAATTGTGCAGTCGGTTTCAGGATCCGGAAAATGTGAAAACAGTCTGATTCCTTGACAGAAGGTGTCAACTCGCCGGCGCTCGATCGTAAGAGGGATAGTTACTCTGGTCCGTCGTGGTACCTGGACAGCGCATACACCTGAGAAACTTTGGGAAAAATTGTGCCCCCAGCGTGGCCCATACGCAGTGCAAATTCCCGGCATCAAGGTACAGACAGTTCTACTTCTGATATTGATGCCAGATCCCGTAAGCCAGATAAATTCAGCTTCCTAACGCTCGAACGTGCCCTTGATGATGTCTGCCGCTGCAAAGCAGTCAGCAACTGAACGCTTTATTCTTAAAACTATGACACACCTTGCTCAGCTATCGCATACACAACAGCTACACGCGTCGACCCAGTATCAGCTACACACACTCGCAGCAGACAGCCTGGCATACATACACTGTGTGTGAGAGGCAACGTGCAGTGGGGCAATTGACAGGTCGACGACCCTGAGATTGTTCGTACCGTACACTCTGAGCTCGTGGTCGACGACGCCGCCCTTGTCGCGCGGCATCATCGAGCAGGTACCACACGTGTGCCACGACGTCGAGCACGTCTCCTTTACGTATTCTGTGCGCCCCACGTCAAGATTCCGATATGGCGGGGAAGGGGGGATAGGAACGCACGCATGAGCTGCTCGTCAGTCTGCACAGACGGCCCGGGTGCGACCTCCCTCGCGACCATGTCCTTCAATGGCGCATGCTGCACCAGATTGCGCGCGAACTTGGCGGCCTCCATGAACACGTCGAGGTCTGCGGCGGGGCGTCATCTGGCTGCATATGCGGTTCAAGGAAAGAACACGGCGCACCAGTTTCGTGCTCAAAGTAGTGTGGATCGAGCTCGGGATCGACCATCGGGTCGGCCGACGTGATGTGCTGCGCCAAACCATTCATCAGAACGCGCTGGTCGCGGCAGGCATCGCCAGAGGCGGTTACTTACGACGTGCCCCCGCGATAGCGGATGGTTCATGCTGTATGACCACGAAAAGTATGACCGACCCTCTTCCACGGACACCCCGAACGCGGTGGTGGTCACGCCGGTGACCTCACACCCGGGACCCGCGGGGAGCACGCCAGGGCGGAGGCGCGCCAGCAGGATCGCGTACTGCTCACGCAGGCCAGTAGGAGTACGTGCTGGGTCGAGCGTGTCGACTTGCGCACGAGCGCGCTCGTAGATCTCTTGCGCACGCGAGGTGCCAGCGACTGTTTCGAGCGGACTATACGAGAAGCTGACGATGCCCATCGTGAGTGCGCCCTTAAGGTTCTTGTAGAGTGCTTTATGCTGTGCGAGCCCAATGGGGTTCAAAAGCTCGTTGAAGCCGAGGAAGTCGTGCTCGGGCTTGAGCTCTTGTGGCGGGTGTTAGTTGGGAGGGAGGTGAGCTATAATGGGGGCGACGCACCCCAGGAGAAGGCGCCGAAGATGTGCTCCTGCATGTTCTCGCCTAAGCCTGGAAGGTCGACCTTGACCTCGACCCCCACCTTTTCGAGCACGGACCTGTTGCCGATTCCCGATAGCTCAAGAATCTGCGGAGACTTCAGCGCCCTAGCATATACCCATCAATTTCAGCCATCCGCCACGGCGTCAAGACACAAGGCGCGACATACCCAGCACAGATAATCGCTTCCTTCTTCACATACACCACGTGACCTTTCTCGCCATGCAGGAACTCGACGCCAGTGATGGTCAAATTTCCGTCCGTGCCCTCGTCTGAGACGATCCTCGCCACGTGTGCACCAGTGAGGACGGTCAAGTTCGGACGGTCACGATTAGGCATGTAGTACGCTGTGCAGGCGTACGAGCGCGTCGAGGTTTGTTGATCAAGGGAGTTGATCATCCAGAAAAATCCGTTTGGCTAGGCGGAAGAAGCATTGAGCGTACAGTAGGAACAGAGAGGACTAAAGACGTACGTTGCCACCGTACTGTTCACAATGGTCAGTGTCTCAGCAGCCGGTATGTAGGTCTGAGAGACTTACTGGGCGTGGCGCAGTCGAGATACCGGCGTTCTTGGCAGTCTGGACAAAGACAGTCACCACGGGTACCCAGGTCGCACGACAGTGATACGAACTCACCTGCATAAAGTAGGTTTCGGCTTCACTAAAAGTCCTCGGGAACGAAATTGGTAGGGTACCTTCGACGCGCCGTGAGCGGCGTTAACAGCTTGAGGATACCTTACATATACCTTTAGTGCCAAGGTCTCCTTCGTGCAGCGGTATCTTAAACTTTTCGCGGAGTTCGGCGGCTGGCTCTACGAAGCTGTGCAAGTGTTAATGTTGAGGAGAGGAAGACTGGCCGGTGGAAGGGTGACCTACCGTTCGGCCCTTTGCACATACTTCTGGAAATTCTTCCAGTTCCAACCTGGGTTACCGAGGCTTTCCCAGTCTAAGAGCGATGGTTAAATGGTGGCAGGAAGTCTAGATAGTAAGTGTATGTGCACCGTCGATCTCCTCAGCTGGAGGCTTGGCCCATTGATAGAAGTTGATACCAGATGAGCCGCCAAGGCCGCGCCCCCTGTATAAAAGGGGGGTCAATGTTTTTGTCAGAGCGTACGGAACGTGAGTGCGAACCGAGACCATGGAAAGATTCTGTCAGAACAGAACTTCTGCTTTGTCTAGATGTACATCGTCGACCGGTCTCAGCTAAGATGCCCCACCGACGACTTGGAGTTACGCACCGTCGCAAAATTCCAATCATATTGCTTGTTGCCAAACTGCGATGCATATGCAGCAGGTGCCACTATACCGCTTACATGAGTCTCAGTACAGGCTTGCTGCATGGGACATAACGTACAAATGGCCGGGTCGTTGATGTTGGGATCTCCCGCCTCCAAGACGCATACTGTCTTGGATGGGTCCTCGCTCAGACGGGCAGCTAGGGTAAGGCCGGCGGTACCGCCGCCTGCACAATTGCTCACAGTCAATGGGTAGGATTAAGGCGGTGCGAACGGAAATTGATTCACCGATGATGACATAGTCGAAGGACTTATCCGTGACGTTTTCGATCTTGGCAGACATAGCAGTCCTTTGGATAGGCCTGTTGTATCGATGGAGTGATGCGGGACGAGGCTATATACTTTGTGAGCTGAAACAAGTAGCATCCGCATCAAGAACATGAAACAACTATCATGCGCTTGTATCACAGCGCTTTGGATAAGCCTGTTGTACCGAAGAAGTGATGCGGAATGAGGGTAAGATTACTATGATGGCACCCTCGTTTATTAGTGTTCCCTGCTTTATTAATTTGCTTTTGCTACTTCAATCTGCCTCCGGAGGTGCTGGGAATATTTTTTAAGATAGCTCTGTATTCATGCTATAATATGATACCAATATCATGACATATATAAGGTGAAAGACGGTATGGTATTTTTGTAGATGCTCAGAAGCAGTCTAAAACTGGCTGAAACATGCTACTGATGGCTAGATCCAACCAGATCTCGCTCACCAAATATTCTTGCGACTACATTTATGAACTTGTGCACTTGCACTGAGCCTGGTAGGCTAATATATTTTGTTTTAAAAGTGCTAGGTACATGCACAGAGAAGGAACAGTTGTGGAGCGTTACAATGAACGGGCAAGGTGTGATGAAATTGTCACTCCGCCTGATCTCAGACACGGCAGGCAACGAGGGGCTCTCGACAGCAAGTCGCAACGATCCTACGCT